AAAAGCTAGGTAGCAGTTAACAACTCACGCCAGGGTACTTGAGAAACAACACAGAAGTGTTTCCTTCCCCCTGGTGGCCCCATTATTGATGGATTTTATGAAAACCATAGTGTATTATTCTTGGCAAGAGCTCTAGAAAGAATTTAGTTCTGCTGTTATTTTGTAAATGAAGAAACGAAGCCACACAGAGGCTAAAGGACTTGTGCAAGGTCACAGCACCGAGTTGATACAGTGACTGATTGATAAAGACACTGGGTCTTTCAGCTTCCAATGCAGGCTTTTCTCCATTACACTGGAATGTTAACTTAATGAGTCGAAATTGGATCATTCTGATCTAAAGTAGCACTGAAATTTGTGATAGAGAGTAGAGATGAAGAAGAGGAAGTGTTGCCCTAACCGGTTTGGCTCAGTGGATAGAGCATCGGCCTGCGGACTTAAGGGTCCCAGGTTCGATTACGGCCAAGGGCATATACCTTGGTTGCGGGCACATCCCCAGTAGGGGGTGTGCAGGAGGCAGCTGATCGATGTTTCTCTCTCATTGATGTTTCTAACTCTCTCTCTCTCCCTTCCTCTCTGTAAAAAATCAATAAAATGTATTTTTAAAAAAAGAATAGGAAGTGTCCTTATAGAATCCCAATGCTTTGTATGGTCTTCCCCTGAAGTTACAGACAGGAGATGCTAGCTAGCAGGACATCGCAGCTTTATGCTGCGTTTACCCCTCTTTGCCTTGTGGGCTGCTTTTAAAGTTCACCCACTTAACGTGGTATATTTCACTGAATGGCTGATTTGTTGACTACATGTATAATGCATTATAATTTATGTTTCACTGTTCATTTTCAGCAATCCAGTGGAAATGAGTGTACAATAGGAGATAAATAGATCTTTTTTCAAGTTACAATGCATCTAAATTCTCTGATTCTTCATACTTTACACTCACACATGGGACAGGCTTGTTTTTTTATGCCTATTTTACATGTACCACTAAGCAAGGTCACAATGTGACCTGCTCAAGGTCATTTACGTTAGTGAGTGGTGAACGGAATAAACTTGGAGTTTCTGGTTTATTCCTTGGCCTGGAAGCAATGCACAAGACACGTTGTTGAAATAGAGATCAACTTTAAGCATCCAGTGTGAACACTTGCTCCTTCCTTCCTTAAAAGAGATAAATTTATAACTTCAACAGGGGATTCTTTAAAAATGGGTCATTTCATAAGGAGGTTAAGTTTACACTTTGGAGTTGGACCAATGTGGGTTGGAAGGTGACTGTGTGACCCACTAGCTATGTAACCTTGGCAAGTTACCTAATGTGGATAGGCCTCAGTTATTTTACTGTAAAAAGAAGATTGATGGTAAAAATAGCAGGCACTCACCGAATGCCTGTTACGTGTCAGGAAGGTATAAAACTTTACATGCATTTCAATGAACCACCCTAACAAAGCTACATGGGAAAAAGAAGTGGGGCAATTGGTGAGGATGGGCTTTGCCACAAAAGAGATGTCATGAGCTTAGATCTGAGCCAAGATTAGACCAACTCCAGAGCTGGTGCCTTTCCCTCTTCCCCAGCATCTACCTCATAGGGCTGTCCGACAACTAAATAAGGTAATGAATATGGTGTGTGTTGGACAGGCCTGACTTATAAAGAACTTCATCAATATTAGGTGAACCATATGAAAGTTCTTATAGTTGATCATTTTTAACCTATAGAAATGGCCATTTCATATGGTTTAACATAGAAGAAGATAATGATAACAAATTATTAATGAACAGGTCAGCCAGGCTCCACAAATATTTTGTGAAAACCAGTAAGGAATTTTCAGTTGATGCATGTTTCAAATAAACATTGTTTTTTCAAATGGGTCTCGGGACGCAGGTTTCCTCCCACTGCTCTTGTTGTGACACTAGGTCGGTGCTGTGTAATGACCTGGATATGAACGAGCTCCCCCTGAACTTCCCCACGGACACTGTGAAGCTTCGCATAGAGAAGACCGTCATCCGCACGATTCCCGCCGATGCCTTCTACTACCTGGTGGAGCTCCAGTACCTCTGGGTGACTTACAATTCTGTTTCCAGCCTTGAGGCCAGCAGCTTTTACAACCTGGGGCAGCTGCATGAGTTGCGCTTGGATGGGAATTCTCTAGCTGCCTTCCCTTGGGCATCTCTGATGTACATGCCCCATCTAAGGATCCTGGATTTGCACAACAACCAAATAACAAGTGTGCCAAATGGGGCAGCCAGGTACCTGCAGAACCTCACCTACTTGGATTTATCAAGCAACAGACTAACCACACTGCCACCAGAATTCCTGGAGAGCTGGTCCCATGTACTTACAACACTGTCCAGAAGCCGGAAGCTTTCACCAAGAATTGTTCTTGGTAAGCTCACAAGCCTCTGCTCCCCTCAGGTCCAGATAATTTGCTCAGCATATTGCTCAGTTGTGCAATCTTTTCATGTTTTTGAGTTTGGTTTCTTACTCTGTACTTGCACTTTGCATGGAATAACACTTCATCAGTTGACCTAAGTCAATTTACCCATCTATCCTGGGTAGGTATAATGGTTGTGTGTGTGTGTGTGTGTGTGTATGTGTGTTCTGGTGTGTTGAAGTTGGGAGGAGAGTTGGCTTCATACACTCAGAGACTAATGCTGCTATTAGAGAGCCTGGAGCTGAGTGACAAAATCCACCAACCTCCGCTGGTTCTTCTGAGCACACTGATGCTCCATCTTGCCACGGTCAACCTTCTGCTCTGGTCTCTTTTCAACCCTTCATCAGCTTCTCCAGGAGGGGAGAGGGGCATCGCCATCTGTATGAGGTGGCAGCGGTTTAATTAGTTAGGAAGGATAGTAGCCAAATTTTTGTAATCTAAAAAGAAATGATGAAGATTCCAGTTATTTTACTGGCCCCAAATAGATCTCCTAATGCGCATAGTCTCTTAGTTTAGTTGTGATTAGTTTTATATATTTCAATCTTGACTTTGTTTAGGTTCTAGGAATATTTGCCTTGGGTGTTTATTTTTATTTTTAATTTAAAAAATCTATATTGTTGAGATTATTACCTTGTCTCCCCCCCCGCCCCCACACCCATTGCCTTCCTCCATCTGGATCCTGACACACATCAGGCTTTCACCACCCTATTGTCTGTGTCCATGGGTAATGAATGTATGTATTTAAGTTCCTTGGTTAATCTCTTCCTGCTCCCCCTCTCCCTTCCCTCTGAGATTCATCAGTCTGTTCCATGTTTACATGCCTCTGGTTCTATTTTATATGTCAGTTTTTTTGGTTCATTAGATTCCTTGTTCATTTATTTTTATTTTCAGATTAATTGTTGATAGATATATATTTATTGCCATTTTATTGTTCATATTTTAAAATCTTTTTTTTCATCTTCTTCTTAAAGAAGACCCTTTAGCCGAAACCGGTTTGGCTCAGTGGATAGAGCGTCGGCCTGTGGACTGAAAGGTCCCAGGTTTGATTCCGGTCAAGGGCATGTACCTGGGTTGCGGGCACATCCCCAGTAGGAGATGTGCAGGAGGCAGCTGATCGATGTTTCTCTCTCATCGATGTTTCTAACTCTCTATCTCTCTCCCTTTCTCTCTGTAAAAAATCAATAAAATATATTTAAAAAAAAGAAGACCCTTTAACATTTCATGTAATATTGTTCATATTTTTAAATCTTTTTTCTTCTTCTTAAAGAAGACCCTTTTTTTTTTTTTTTAAAGAAGACCCTTTGACATTTCATGTAATACTGGTTTGGTGGTGAATAACTCCTTTAGCTTTTTCTTGTCTGTGAAGTTCTTTATCAGACCTTCAATTCTAAATGATAACTTTGCTGGGTAGAGCAATCTAGGTTGTAGGTCCTTGCTATTAATCACTTTGAATATTTCTTGCCACTCTCTTATGGCCTGCAAAGTTTCTGTTGAGAAATCAGCTGACAGTTGTATGGGTGCTCCCTTGTAGATAACTAACTGCTTTTCTCTTGCTGATTTTAAGATTCTCTCTTTGTCTTTAACCTTTAGCATTTTAATTATGATATGTCTTGGTATGAGCCTCTTTGGATTCCTCTTGTTTAGGACTCTGTGCTTCCTGGCCTTGTATGTCTATTTCATTCATCAGGTAAGGGAAGTTTCCTCTTATTATTTTTTCAAGTAGATTTTCAATTTCTTGCTCCCTCTCTTCTCTTTCTGGTACCCTCATGATGTGGATGTTGATATACTTGAAGTTGCCCCAGACTCTCCTTATACTATCTTCATATTTTTGGATTCTTCTTTCTTTTTGCTCTTCTGAGTGGGGTTTTTTAATTCTTCCTCATATTTCCAAATCATTGATTTGGTTCTCAGAATCCCCTATTGAATCCCTGTAAATTATTCTTTATTTCAGTTAGTTTATGCTTAATTTCTGACTAGTCCTTTCTTGTCTTTGAAATTCTCACCAAGATCCTTGAAAGTCTCACTAAGTCCTTTGAAGCTCTCATTAAGATCCTTGAGTAACCTTATAACCTTGTTTTGAACTCTGTATCCAGTATTTTGCTTGCTTACATTTTTTTCATTTGTGACATGTTTCTTTGTCTCTGCATTCTGGTTGCTTCCATGTTTGTTTTTATATATTAGGTAGAGCTGCTATGTATCCTGGAATTGGTAGAATGGCCTTATGTAGTAGGCATCCTATAGAGCCCAGTGGCTCAGTCTTCCCAGTCACCTGAGCTGGGCCCTCTAGGTGTACCCATGTGTGGCCGTGTGCACTGTTGTGTTGTAGTTGAACCTTGATTGCTATTTGGTCACTGGGAGGTATTGACCCCCAGGCCAATTAGCTATGAGGACCAGCTATGATTATAGTGCAAGAGCTGCTGTGCAGGAGACACCCCTATGGAACAGGACTTGCTTCAGTGGAGCTTTGGTGCTCTCCAAGTCTGCCCCTTAAATGGGTCATACGTGGATGTGGTAGGGTTGTAATCTGGCATAGTCTGAAGCTGACCACCGGGTGTACTGGCTCTGGGGCCTTACAAAATCAGCTACTGCTTGTGCCCTGCATGGGGCCACCTGGCACAAGCTACAGAGTGATCTGCAGATAGTTACTACTTGTGTTGGGCTTGGAGGTGCCCCAGAGAGGCCAAGCTATGAACCAAGGCAGGCTGCTGCTAGTGCCTGGCCTGGGGCCACTTATCAAGAGGTATGGGACATGCTGATGCCAGCTGCTGCTTGTTTGAGAGATTTTAGGAAAGTCTGAAGCCTGAGCAAGGATAGGCCATTCATATAGAAAAACCACTGCAAACAGCTTGGGTGAGGTGGGGTCTAAGGGAATCACAAGGTCTGGGTGAACAGTGTGGGCCAGAGACTCAGATATGGTGACAGCCTGTCAGCACTGTGGTGGGAAAGTCTCAGCAAAGGAACAATGACTTCTTCTAGTACCTTTGTCTGGGAGTAAGTTTTTGATCTGATGCCAGACAAATTAGTTCCTCCCTGTATGTCCCTGGATCCTTTAAGAGCTGATGGGGCTCAGAGGGAGTGAGTCCAAGTAAATCTATGCTCTGGCCCTTTAAGGGGAATGCCTGGTTCTCCAGCAGCCTCTGTCACTCAGCCACAATTCCCGCTGGTTTTTATAGCCCAAAGTTATGGGCACTTCTCTTCCTGGCATTGGAACCCTGGGCTGGGACCCCTTGCTTCTCAAGAGACATCTTCACAGCCAAGATAGCCCTCTCGATTAAAAAAAAAAAAAAAAGCCATGCTTGGGTGTGGGACCAGCCTTTTACATGCCTCTGCTCCTCTTACCAGACTCAATGTGCTTTATTCTTTAACTAGAGGCCCAGTGCACAAAATTTGTGCACCGGGGGTGTGTGTCCCTCAGCAAAGCCTGCACCCTCTCCAATCTGGGACCCTTTGAGGGATGTCCGACTGCCCATTTAGGCCCGATCCTGGTGGGATTAGGCCTAAACGGGCAGTTGGACATCCCTCTCACAATCCAGGACTGCTGGCTCCCAACCGCTCGCCTGCCTGCCTGCCTGATTGCCCCTAACCGCTTCTGCCTGCCAGCCTGATCACCCCCTAACCACTCCCCTGCCGCCTGATCAACACCTAACTGCCCTCCCCTGCAGGCTTGGTCGCCCCCAAATGCCCTCCCCTGCCAGCCTGGTCACCCCAAACTGCTCTCCCCTGCCAGTCTGGTTGCCCCTAACTGCCCTCCCCTGCAGGCCTGGTCCCCCCCAGCTGCCCTCCCCTGCAGGCCTGGTCCCCCCCAATTGCCCTCCCCTGCTG